GAAAGCAAAGAAGATGTTGGATCAGAAAGCCCTGCACATATTATACTGTGCTTTACTACTGCCATATATGAGTTACTGTGTAGAGGTCTGCGGAAACGCATACAAAAGTAACATACAGACGATAACATTAATACAGAGAAAGGCCATTAGACTAATTAATAATGCGGGGTACAGGGACCATACAAATGCACTCTTTGTCCAAATGCAAGCTATTAAATTCCAAGACTTGGTGAAGCTCAAAACAGCGCAAATAATGTATAAAGTAAGAAATAAATTGCTTCCAAACGAAATCTGTTTATTGTTCAAAGAAAGAGAAGGTGGGTATAACTTAAGAGGGAAATGGAATTTAAAAATACTAAGTGCTAACAACTTTAAAAACTATGTCAATCGCAATTGCAGGAGTTAAATTATGGAACAGTCTAACAGAAGAGATAAAAGAAAGTAAAAACATAAACCAGTTTAAAGTAAAATATAAAAACCTAATTTTAAATAAGTATAAGAATGAAGAAAACAGGGTTAACCCAGGATGGTAAATGTGGCTGGTTATGCTGTTGTGCTTCTTTTTCTGTGTTTTTTGGTTTGTTTGGTTTTTCCTTTTTTCCCCATAACTGTTGAATCTGCAAATTTCTACATTCTCTGTTTCCCATATGTTGTTTTGTTAATTTATATATATATATATATATATATATATATATATATATATATATATATATATATATATATATATATATATTTTCTTCTTCATGTTGTTTGTTTAATTTAAGACTGAAAGAAAATTAAATGAATAAGAGGTAAAACTTGGGGGTAGTGACAAATAAGTAAATACTTCTGCCTACTCCTTTTCAAACAACTAATGGAATTATATTTTGTAATGATACATGTGTGAAATGTTTGAAATAAAAATGAGCTGAACTGAACTGATATAGTTTACAAAACAAAGAAGAAAAGATGCATCACCTTTTAAGACATGTTCCTTCTATGTGATGGTTTGTAATACCACTTTAGCAGTCATGAAAAGTAAATGTGTACACACACTCACAGCTCTAAATAAAGAAATGCTGTCTGTATTCATGTGTGTGTTCACTCTGAGGAAGCAGCAGTGTGTGTTTTATAGGCTGCACTGAGTGATTGATCATAGGGAGCTGGGGAAAGCAGGTTACTGCAGCACTTACACACACACATTCATTCCCGCTCTGCATTTTTCATTTCCCTCTCTCCCCTCCTCCTTTGTTCCATCTCCATCTCCCCTCCTCCCCCCATTGCTCTTCCAAACCTCCCTCTCAACCTCCATACATCACTCTCTCTCTTTCTGTCCCTTTCCACCATCACTCTCCCCTCCTTCCTGCAGTCTTGAGGCTTACACGTTTCTCTGTCCTCACGCTATCAATTAAAAAAAAGGAGAAAGAAAGCAAAAAAGCATCTTGCATTTCCTCATTCTCCTTCTGTCCTGTTATCTGGCGCTCAGGGGAATGGAGAGGCATCATCATGTGACTCCTTCCTCCACCTCCTCCTTTTTTCTTCAAATGTTATTTAGCTGCAGTAGTACTCCACTGCAACTCTGGCAAGGGGCTTCAGTCGCCCTCAGAGGGCTTCTTGCTGCACTACATCATCCACCATCCACTGTATCCACCCATCCATCCACAATCCTGCAGTAGGAGTTCATTAATGACAGTTTAAAGTTATGATCCAACTGTAGAGGGTTGCTCTAGATTGACTAGAAATCGTGAAGAAACTTGACTGAAGTTATTTGAAGACGTGGAATATCTAACTTACATCATTGTACTTTTCTGATATGAGTATTTCATACTAAAGGGCTACTATGATTATTTTACTTGAGTACTTATAATTCTTAATTGCAGCACACAGCAGTCAGAGCTAAATCAGTTTGGAGGCCAGAATTTGGATCTGCATGGAGGAACCAAGCAAAGCTAATTGACTGGGAAATGTCTGCTATCTAAATCAAAGAGTTCCAAAGCCTTCAAGGGTTTCAAGCATCCTGAAAAAGCGAAGCATCCCTTGTCCCAGAAGCGTAGCGTAGTGTCCATCCATCCATTATCGTCCGCTTACCCGGGGTCAGGTCCCAGGGGCAGAAGCCTGAGCAGAGAGGGCTAGACTTCCCTCTCCCCAGACACTTGGGCCAGCTCCTCCAGGGGAATCTTAAGGCATTCCCTGGCCAGCCGAAAGACATAGTCCCTCCAGAGTGTCCTGGGACTTCCCTTGGGTCTCCTCCCATTTGGGCGTACCCAAAAAACCTCACAAAGGAGGCATCCTAACCAGATACCCGAGCCACCTGAAGTGGCTCCTCTCGATGTGAAGGAGCAGCCGATCTACTATGTGCCCCTCTCGGATAACCAAGCTTCTCGTAGAGTAGTGTAGCTCTGCTAAACTTACGCTTCAGGTCTATTTTTAATGCGCTACACTTCCAGAAGGCTTCCAGGTCAGCAGTTCAGATCAGGCAAGACAGGAAGTCAAACACGGGAGCAGTGTAGAACACCCAGCAAACATCCAGCAAGACATGTGTACATTTCCAGTTACTTAAAGGTGTAGCGGAGGATCTTTTTTCTTCCGGGTGGATCATCTGAACCCTTGGTCCACCTAACTGTCAATTGTTCTGGTAAAGCTTTCTCAAAAGGCCACCATCGTACGTGGGTTAGTCTTCACTCCCTGCCCAAGCGCATTCTGTTTACGTGTAGAGCGATACACCTTTATTCCTCGCCATTCTCACCGAGTTCTTTTGAAAATGGCTGAAAGTCACAAGAGACAAAGTGTCTTTGAAGTCTACGAGAAGAGAAAGTCCTCTGAAGTGACTAATAAGGCTAGAGGAGATTCTTTTCAACAATGGTGTGCGCTGAAATTGAAGTTTGGGCTCGCCACAGACGCTTCTGTCGCTGGTTTTCTGCCTGACAGGTAAGCTAAAGTTCGGCATGCTATGTGAAGAAATTTGTTTTGGATTACTGCTAGAAGAAATGCTGCGAGACCGGCGGCTACTTGTAAACAGAGTGTGCATTTTTTCTAAAATGCAGCGAGGGCGGTTGTTTCCTGATATTCTGAAACACCCTCCACCGTAGTAAAAGAATAAAAATAACGCGTCATTAACTTCCATGTCTCAGTGACCCAGGTAAGCATCCCTGTGGAAAGCTAGTGGGAAAATTGCGACTGTTATGCAAAGCTTATCTGGACTTGACCCACCCATGGGAATTTTACTCTAATTTTCCAAGCTAAAATTACTCCAAAAGCTCTCCACTGCAGGTGAGTTTTGAGGGGACCTTGCTGATCTTTAGTAGGAGACCCCTGGGTCAGGTCTGAACCATACAAATAAGAGAAGAGCAAAATAGATAAGGGTAAAGAGATTGAAGATACTCTGCCACCCCTGTCAGCCATTGCCATAAAAACCCCACAGCCCTCTCTCTGACAAGTGACATTTCACTTTGCCCTGGTTGCTGCTTCCTGCAGGGATACTCTGATCCAGTCTGAGTGAGCGTGTGTGTTTGTGTCCTCATTAAAGGAAGATAGCGACTGAGGGGGAGTGGCCCTGTTCTCACACACACACACACACACACACACACACACACCTTGTCAAACCAGACTTCTGCTGCGTGTGTGTATCAGCAAAGAAAGGAAGTTATGAAACTAAAGGGGGCCACATGCAACTTCAGAGTAGCATTAAATTAATATGCATGAAATATTTTATCGATACAAAACTTTGAACTGTCAGAGTCTCTTCCAAGAATTAGCTCCAGTCAATAATGAGACTGTCTGTTTGGCGGTTTTCATCATTTTCTCAGTCTAGCTTTAATAATTAAGCCACTGTCACAGTTATTTGTTTTCTGCAAGCTGTAAGTATAATAAAAAAGACTTTGGGAGAGTTTGAAGATCAACTCATGCATGAAATATAAATTATGAGCTATGAGACACTTTGGCTATAAAGCAACAAGAACATTTGTAAAACGCTTACACAAGTGTCACAATTGGCTTGGATTTAGATGAGACGCCTGGCATGATACGGCCAGATATGTGAGCAGAACTAGGCGCTGTCACCGTAAACGAAAATACTAGGCCTTCTGTGTACTATTTTCTTGGGGTGAAACAGTTCACGGGGGGGGGGGGACTGATTCGTTCCAGTTCAGTCCACTTTCGTACCATTTTGGTTTTTTATTTCCGTTAAACAATTAATATTTATTTGCGTGTTTTAAGTGCAGCGGATAAAAGGTCCTATAGGCGAGTTTCCACACGGACGCACCCGATCTCCGTTTAAAAAATGTGATCTGCTAATTCTGATCAATGCCTTTCAGAGCGGATCAAACCAGCTGGCTGTCGCTGCTACTGTGGAGCCTGTAGAGACGCTGAACGGAACGTTGCGTCGCCCCTCCCTCCCTTCTCTCACACTGTGCAGGCATGCAGCGACAAAGATGTAAACAAACACATCAGCTGAACTTAGCCCCCTGGGACAATCGATGTAAAGGTTTCATCCTACAACGAAAAATACGGCACGGAGGAAGCTCGTTATTTAGTACGGGTTTTAAAGAAGAAACTCTGGGCGGTGTGAGGTGAGTTTTAAGGCTCGCTGCAGAAACAAAACCACGGCACATCAACAGTTAAACACAACACTTGTCGGTGTGAACGTGACACTCATAGCTGCGCAAATAAAGTGTGAAAAATTTAAAGACGTCATGCTAGATCAGCAGCCTGTGATGGCACCTGGTTCTGCTCACTATAGGAGCCGCTTCAGATATTAAATAAATAAATACAATAATAACATACCGAAAATGAATCTAACAGAGTTCTTCAAAACACCGAACCAAACCGATTACAATTTTAGCGTATCGTTGCACCCCTACTATTTTCCATATATGACTTAAAATACATCAAGAACTCAGACTGTTTTATTATATATTTACAATCAGAGGTATTCTTATAGAGTTTTGCAACTAAATCTACATGAGCAAACTGGAATGATCAACAGTTAAAACAACTAAATCAAAAATTTCAAGTAGACTCACCCAGTGAGCACGACCACAAAGTCCATAACGTTCCAGCCATTCCTCAGATAGGAGCCCTTGTGTAACGCAAATCCCAGAGCCAGGATCTTTATCCCCGACTCAAAACAGAAGATGGCTATAAAGTAGGGCTCTGTCTCTTCCTGCAGGGAGGGAAGGTGAGGGAAGAAGGAGGCAGTTAATGGCAAAATATGCATAATACAAAAAAATGGTGGAAGAGGCTGATTATTTAAGGGAAAATGAAAATGTGGCAAAATATCAGGCTATGAGGTTATGGAGCATTTTGAGTATGTGGATAGTAGAACCCCGATATCTCATACTCATATGTAAAATGATTGTTGTAATTTACACCTGTGTGTGTGTACTTGTCTTCATATGCTTACGTGGACACATTTAAACTTTTAACCTGTAGTGTGTGGACATTTCCACATTGTGGGGACATTTGTCTGGATCACACAATGACAAAACACCCCCAAACGTGGTCTTAGAGGCATTGCGTGAATTAAAATTTAGTTTAGATTAGGATTAGGAATAGGAATAGAGGGTCCACACAAAGATACAGAGACAAGTGTGTGTGTGTGTGTGTGTGTGTGTGTGTGTGTGTGTGTGTGTGTGTGTGTGTGTTGTTGTTGTACCAGTCTTTCAGAAAGAGGTGTCTTGTCTCCTTCAGGAAGGTGCTGTTCTAGAGCCAGGACAATGCAGTTTGCAATGATGGTGGTGAGGATCATCCATTCGAATGGAGTATAGCTGGAGTCAAGGCTCATATCAAAAACAAGCTCATCCATCCATCCATCCATCCATCCATCCATCCATCCATCCATCCATCCATCCATCCATCCATCCATCCATCCATCCATCCATCCATCCATCCATCCATCCATCCATCCATCCATCCATCCATCCATCCATCCATCCATCCATCCATCCATCCATCCATCCATCCATCCATCCATCCATCCATCCATCCATCCTCTAAGCACATTCCTACAAGTCTCTCTGTCCAGTTGTGCTCAAACCATCTCAGCTTAGTTAAGGTTAAAAAACCACTAAGCCCCTCCCCCCGCTCCACTAACCATTGCACATGACCACATATTAGAGACAGAGAGAAAGTAAATTGATGGATTTCCCTCTTGATTCTGCTTTTTTGACCCCATTACAGACCAGTACCTTCTCAGTGGCTGTGGGAGAGTGTCCGTCCTGGGACTGGGAGAAAACAAATCTGGTCAGGTCATACCAAAGACTTTAAAAATGAGACCCAATGCCTCTCTGCTTGACACTCAGCTTTAACAGGTTGGATTAGGGGATTAAACCACCAAATAGTTCCAGAGCAGTTCACCGCTCCCCTCAGAGATGGGTCAAATGCCGACACTCACCAGAGGAACTTAGGACACTACTCCTGGACTGATGTTGATCTATTCTTTTCTTTGCAGCATTGTCTCAGAATTAGACTGCAGTTAGTCATTTAGACTATTTTTACATCGTTTCATGCTCCAAACCGGACCTAATCCTGTTGGATGTCTTCAAACTGTGAAAAGAACAGCATCACATTATCTTAAAAAACAAGTAAAGATGTGACCTGAAGCTAACTGGAGACCCTACGGTTCTTGGTTTGATCAGGTATTTCAATAAATATCTTTGTCAGAGTTTACAGTTTTGCCTGTGCGGCCTGAGCAAAAACAAACAAAAAAATAAATAAATAAACAAAGACAAACAAAAGATTTATGGACTAATATAATCTAATCTGAGCAGAAATCACTCAGTTGGTTAAATACAGCTGTTAGTGATGGAGCACTCAGATTTTCACAGGACTCCATCCAGTTGAATGTGTCTTAATGTGTGTGTCAGCATGTTGTGTGTGTGTGTGTGTGTGTGTGTGTGTGTGTGTGTGTGTGTGTGTGTGTGTGTGTGTGTGTTCATGCCTAAGTAATGTGTGCTGGAGGGGCTAAGATGACTGAATACATCCAGACAGATCAAGCATGTGCCTAATTGGCCAGTCATTATCCTGTTAGCCAGTGTGTGTGTGTGTGTGTGTGTGTGTGTGTGTGTGTGTGTGTGTGTGTATGACTCGTTGCATGTTTGTCTGCAGATGTGTGTGGTGAGACTACGTGGCCATTGTCATGTTTAACAGATGCAGCACACTATGGCCTGAGGATGGCTGAGCAGGATTGTGTGTGTGTGTGTGTGTGTGTGTGTGTGTGTGTGTGTGTGTGTGTGTGTGTGTGTGTGTGTGTGTGTGTGTGTGTGTGTGTGTGTGTGTGTGTGTGTGTGTGTGTGTGTGTGTGTGTGTGTGCGCTTGTAATAAGATGCTGCTGGTTGATGTGAGAGGACCAGACAGGTCGGCCAGTGGAGTGCACACTAACGAGACAAAGCCGAACTGGCTGGCAGGAAATATGCACACACCTACTTTAGTGGAAGATAAAGCAAGAAAACGGAAACCCGAACACACACGAGCACACACACCTGAATATTATTTTAGATTTGAGTGAATCTGCCTAATTTTCTT